CTATTTCAGATGGGCTGTGCTTCTCTAGGCATGACTTACAGACTGAACCACTCATTCATTCACAGGAGAGGTCTGGGCCAGATCCGGGGATATAAAATCCCTCCTCTCAATGAGCTCAGTGTAAGGGAGAGGCTGAGAAATAGGACATGGCGATACAGCAAGGCAAGGCCCAGGATGTCATTTGGGATCCAGGGGAGGAATGTGGGTAGTACACACAACGTCCCCAGGGAGTTATTCCACAAGGGCCAGGCCGCCTATAGCTGGGGTCCATAACGTAGCAGGCAGCCTCTACGTGGCCCTGCCCCAAGACAGGGCAGCTTCTTCCTCCTGCTGTCCCTGATCGGAAGGACAGGGCCTCTGCGCTCGGCCCTCTGTGGCTCAGAAGTTAAGTAACTTGCTCCAGGCCACACAGCAGAGCCCCAGGTTTCCAAGGCCTTTCTCTCCCTGCTGATGACTCACAGGACAGGCTACAGCTCTTCCTTCTGCTTTCTGGGTGGAATGTTTTCATTCCCAAGATTGGGTGTGGGCAGAGCCAGGACCACAGGGACCACACGGCTGTGTCGAGTCCCCCAGGCAGACAGCATTTCCTTCTAAGCACCCGCCCGACTCCAGAGCCAAGCCTCAGACAAGTGCGTCAGCTGTGTCCCCACTGGGAGGTCAGGCCTTCTGGACCCCTTGGGAGGCCTTAAAACTGAATGCCAGGCCTGGGGCTGGCAGACAGTGACCCACACTCTTGCTTCTTGTTCTCCCCAACCTTTTTCTTCTGTGCTCCCAGGAAGGGAATCTCCCACTAAGAAACTGATTACCCTGTAGCTACCCCCTGGGGCCCTAAAACCAGCCCTTCCCTTGCAGTGGTGCCCTTTTAGCAGGAAAAGGGCAGGGTCCTGCCATTTCACCCGGCATCTCCAGGCCACCTCTGCCTCCTCTTCCCTTTCACACGGGGTGGGGCCAAGCGGAGTCTTTATTCCCTCCTCACTCACCAGGACCCCTGCTGAGCACTGGCATTCATTCCCTGCACCGGAGCCAGCCACAGCAGCTCCTTTCAAACCCCCAGAGATGCAGAGCCTGGATAAGGCTGTCCTTGGGCCCTTTGTTGTTGGAGACTTGGTTCCCAGGCCTTTGATCTCCCAGGCTCCCTGGCCAGGCCCCACCGGAGCAACCGCCATAATACGGCCATTGTGACTTCGGCACACCAAGCCCGCGGTGGGCGTCCCTCTCCAGGCTGGCACCTGAAAGCCGTGAATGCCCGCTTGTCACGCAGAGAAGTTACAGTGTCCTGAAGGAGCAGGGCCCTCCCCTAGAGACACAATGGACGGAGGCCGGTGGGAGGCCAGGGCCTTTGTGTGGGAGAAGTCGAGCGTGCTGCTAAGGGTGTGCTCGGGAGACAGCCTGGAGACTTCAGGGACTTGAAAGGTGGGGCAAGCGCCAGCCTCTGGGGAGTCTGCCTTTTTTAAAAAATGTCACTATCCTCTTCCTCCTCCCTCGCCAACTCCCACCATTGCAGAAAAGTGGCTGCTTTGGAGAGGGGGGCACGTTCTGGCACTCCCATCATGGGCCTCTGATCTCTGCATACCCAGGGTACGGCCTGGCTGGTGAGAAGGGAGCCCTCCCAAGAATCCTCACTTAGTCAAACGTGTGTGGTCATGTGGGTGCAGCACAGAACCTTAGGGATAAACTGTTTCTCTGGCTTTGGTCACCTACCCTGCAGGTGACCTGGAGACTGAAGGCACAACAGTACCTTGAAGGATGGAATGAGTTACACGTGAGACCCTGGTCAGTAATCCAGTGACTTCTGAGAGCATGGGTGCCTGTGACCACACCTACCCATCCTCGGGTCCAGGTGAGCCGTGGCAAAGCCCTCCCATAGGTAAAGGGGTTTTTCACCCCCAGCTCAACTCCTTAGTTTTCACTTCAGCCAGTCATCTCAACACTCTCCTCCCACAGGTAAAATAAACATTTTACTAAAGGGCAGACTGAGGCCCTGAGAGTCCTCTCTTTAGCTGGAAAGCAGTGTCCTCCATCAGGATGGGCACTGCTGTGACCACTTTAGCTCTTTGGTATCCAGAGACATGGGATGGAATGTCTGGCTTTGAATCCCTCTTAGGGTAGGGAACACCTCCTGGGCTGTCCCTTGATAAAGTCACCTCCTAAAAGTTGGCAGTGCTCAGTGGGGGCAGGGGTGACGCAGAACATGTGGGGAAGCTGATCGAGTATCCATCCACACCCTGGGGTTTTTGGATCCTGGCTCTATGTGACCTTCATCCTCACTTGCTTCGTCTGTAAACCTGGGAAGAGCAGTGTCTGCTCGGTGGCCCAGCATCCAGCCCACCCAGTGCCACGCCCAGGACATGGTCTGTGTCCAGTAGCTTCCCTTGCCATCAACTTCCTTCCCACTCTGAAGCCCTTTCAGTTCCTCTAATGCTCCTTCCTCTTGCTCACCTCCTGTCCTCCAAATCCTCCCAAGGTCCGCTCCCTGGCCCGGGGATAGTCATTCCTCTCTGTTTACTCAGCTAACTCATCCTCATCCTCCAGGTCCCATCACAGACATCATCACTTCCTCCAGGTAGTCTTCGCTGATTCCTTAGTCAAGGTGAAGTCCCCCTGCACTGGGCCCCATGGCCCCTGTACTTTCCCCCTCAGAATGTGTGTACACTGATAAGACATTGCCTTGTTTGTGACTTCTTCCCTCAGCTGTGTGGGCTGCAGGGCAGGAATGGGTTGGCTTCATTTATGGATATATCTATAGCACTCCCAAGGTACTAGGACAGGGTCTTAGTACACATTTGCTGAAATGATAATTAAAAATTAACCAAAGAGGGTCACGTCCCTCCCTTCCCCTACTGCGACCACTCTCCAGAGGCAGGGACTGTCTGAGGCACAAGAGTAAAACCTCGGGTCTCTGGCTTTATAATTTGACGAAGTGTGCATTATTCTTATTTTAGTTGGAAAGCTAAAGCTATCCTCTCTTAGAGTGAGTCCTCACTGAACAAACTTCCAAACTGACTCTTGTTCTTAGGATAAGACACCAGAATATGCCACCATCAAATACGCCTCTTAGGTATAAGGATGTATGAACTGAAGGCAGTTAAGAAGCAGATACAGGAAGCTCTCTGGCCTCCCTCTATTTGCTTAAAGGCAGGCTATAGATATATAAAGACAAAGGGTATCCCATCCCACTTCTACTGGGGGAGCAAAGCTTAACCACTGAAGACAACTTTAGACCCTTATCCACCGGCAGTGGCTCCAGAGGAACCTATGAGAACAAGCCTCACTAACCGGCCCTTATCTACCATCTGTTTCCCTTGCCACAAGCTGCCACCCCTGAAGACTCAAAATTGTTTTTCTTTGCCTTGCCACTTCTCTAGAAATGTACTTTTTGTTGTTGAAGAGGCTATATGAGCTGGAATTCAAAGCCACATATTTAAGTACTACTGACTCCCCAGGTGTGTCCCATGTATGTATGAAACACACAATATTAATAAGCTTCTGTTGGTTTTTCTCCTGCTAATGTGTTGTAGGAGTCTGTTCCAACTAACAGCTTAGAAGGGTTTGAAGAAAAACTGTTTTTCTTCCTCTACACTGGCATTAGGCCCAAACAATGGTGGCATTCCTGCCATGGTCTAGCTAACCTGCTGATGTCCTGACAGCTCCCTGGAGACCCACATCCCCCACACTTGGTGAGCTGAGCCAGCAGGAAGGTGGGCTCCAGGGAGATGGCAGCAACATGGCGCCTAGCTCAGAGTGGGGCTGTGGGAGACTGTTTTCCTTCAGTGTCATTGAAACTGGCTCATTCCAGCTCCTGGGAGGAATAAGTGAGGAAGGGAGGGAGGAGAGAGGAGGGAGAAGAACCAGTAGGCAGCAGGCTGGGGCCAGCACCCTCCGATCTGTGGTGGCTGTGGTTAAGCTGGTGTCTCCAGAGAAACACAAGCAGGGTGGTGAAAACTGCCAGCTGGCGCTGGCTTTTGCAGTGGTAGAGAGGCCCAGGAAGGGGCAGAAACCTCACTGGAGGACTCTCCTTTCTTTGAAGCTCAACTACTACAACTCCATTAAAGTGAGAAGAGGGGGCATCAGGTTCCCAATGTGAGTAACCCGTTTCCGCCTCTGCATCTGAATGTGGGAGCCAGCTCCCCTGGTCCTGAAGCACTGCGGCTGCCACCACATAACAGTTTTTGAGTGTCTACTACATGCTAGGCACCATTCCTGGGGTCGGAACAATAAAGAAAAAGTTTAAGCATTTGGAGGGTTTACATTTCAGATAGTAAATGGGTTTTTTAAAAAATTAGAAGCCTTATCATGTAGCTATTTCTACAAAGACTGATCTGAGAGCGATTTTGTATTATATTATAGAGATATTTGTGCCAAACCCATCTAGACTGCGGTGTCATTGAGAGAAGGAACAGATCTGATTTATCTCTAGATTTTCGAAGATGGCTGGTACAGAGCCTGATACTCACTGATGCTAGGTTTACAGCCACCAAAAAAAAGGCCCCAACAGGATTTGTCTCCAAATCCAGAGGCCCCTTCCCTTGCCATGTGGTGGTAACCTGCAGAAATGGAGTGGGAGACAGCAGCTTGATAACATCTGGTCATGCACACAACAAGTTGGCTTGACATTTCCAGTTGGTTTCAAAGGGAAATCCATCACAGGAGGTTTCTCTACTCAACCAGAGAGAGGGTGTAACCAGGCACAGTTTCTGGTATCAGATACAGAAAGATAAATGTCCTAGGCACACAAAAATAATCAAAGCCACTGATCAAAGATGTGGATCAGACAAGCACCACCACAGAGGCATAGTACCAGTCCTTGGGGAGGAATCTTCAAGGGGGAAAGAAGGTTACTGTAACCTCCAGAGGCCAGGAACGTGAGTGCTTAACATGCATGGGGTTTGCACTGACCCACACAGGAAGCAAAGGGCTGGGCACATAATCAGTGCTCAGTTAAACACTGCTGGTATCATGATCACCGAGGCTCTTGACAACTTGAGAGCTGCACTTCTTACCCAGCATGTACGCAGAGCCTGAGAAGCTACGGTCATCACTGATGCCGAGGAAAGGAGAAACCACTTGCTTCACCAGCTCCTCCAGTTGCAAATAACTCTCACTTGGGCCTGTGGGCTCGTGAACACTCTGGAAAATGAACAGCCAAGATATGCAAAGGTCAGCATCTGTTGCCATGCCCAGCAGGTGCTCACGTAACAAATCCTGATTGTCCTCCTGCAATGTACAAGGCAGTGTTGCCGGCAGGCAGCATCCTTGCAGTTAGAATGAAGGAAACTGAGGCCTGCAGCCTTAGTCACTTGTCATGGGTCACTGCAATTAGAACTGCAGCAGCGTCTCCCATTGGGCCACCAATGCGGTGTGGATGTCCCACCTCCAAGGCTGAAATCTGGCTGGTCTCAAGGACAATAATCCTACCCACCCTGTCGTAGTGACTGGTTCATAAACAGCACACAGACACTTAACATATATTAAGGCACAGAGGTCTCCTGACAATGCAAAGAGGAAGGTGCTCTTATCAGCCCCCTTCTCTGGATGATGAACTAAAGACCCAGAGAGCTTAAGTACCATGCCCAGGAAATCACGGCCAGTAAATGGCAAAAACCCTGGACTGGAACCCAGGCTAACTGGCTCTGATCCCCTCTTACTGACACTTGCTATCAGGCTAGAAAAGAAGGGAGGTAAGACTATGGAAAAGTGCAGAGTGATAAGAGAAAGGGAGAATTCTTCTAGAGCCAGGAATAGTTGCAGCACCAAGATAAAGAGCCAATTAACAATCCCGGCATGACAGGAGTTCTCCAAGCTAAGCACTGAGTAAAGAACGGTCAAAACCAGAAAGGAATCAGTAACCAATGTTTTCTAGAAAACCAGCAGACTCCTAGGGAGCTCAGCTTCTTGCTGGAAAGAACTCAAACATGCTGTTATGTTGAGAAGCTGCAAAGAAACAGAGACCACCTGGCAGGAAAAGGGCTTGGCCAGGAAAGAAACAAGGCTCCATGAGGCTGTGCCCAGCCCGAGGGGTTAACATGTCAAATTCTCGAAATGGGGTAGACTCTAAATCAGTTTCACTTTGAAAGTAGACTCCACTCCAGTGCAGTGTTTCAGGGATTGAAGGGGAAGCTTGTCAGGTAATCAGGTAGGAAGGGCTGACCCCTGCAGGTTGGCGATCCAAGGGAGATGTAAGCTGCCAAGGAAATAGGCTATTCCTTGGTCCCTTTTTGGTACTGTCACATTGAGATGGGTGTGGCCAGGGGCTGTGGGATGAGAGGACACAGCTTCAGGAAACACAAAGAGGCTGAAGAGGGAGCTCTATGGCACAGTTTTGGAGGTAGAAACAGTGCCAGAAGAGATGCAGAGAAAACGAGTGGATTCTCCCCCAAACCTTCCATAAATGCTAAACAGAGAGAGACCACAGAAAAATGAGAAGTGGCAAAAGGTGGGATGAACATGGATAATAAACATGTGATTTGGAGCTGGATGGTTTTCTCCCAGAAAAGTCGCTGCTGAGAACTTGGCTTGTGCACAGCCCTCTAGGAAGGTGCTGTCCTCGGCCCTTGGCTTGGCTGCCAAACAGCTATGGAATTGCTGTGGTCCAGGGTAAAAAATGCAGGAACTCGTGTTCAAAAATCATTAAGAATGTCAAATGGTGATGGGAGAAAATTAAACCAAACTCAGGGTCCTCCAAGCACAGGCCGAATACCCTGCCTGGCTGGGGCCTCTGAGAACGCACCATTCTTAGGGTGGCCTCAGGACCTGTCTGTGTCAGCTGGGAGCAAACAAAGTTTCACACTGGTTAATATCTCTGATTCTGCCTCTCACTGGGGCAGTTTGAAGGCAGAGCACATGGCCCAGTGTAGGAATATTTGTAAATTTGGTGAAAGGTGGAGTTGGGTCACGGACATTTGGGAAGAGCAACAGAAAAGACAGAAATGAAGTCCTAAGAGAGAGCTCTTTTCTCTGTGTAGGTCAGGTAGTTTTGAAAGATATCAGCCCCAGGTCTCATGGCACTGTGGAAAGTGCAGGTCTAGGGAGAGAATGGACAATTCTAAGAACCAAGGCCCACATTTCCTGTAGCACGTGTGGTCCCAGGGCAGTGCCACCTGGAAGTTCCATTCAGATCCAGAGCCCACCACCCCTACTGCTCAAGAAGATGGACTTGGGCCGGGGAAAGATCCGTGTTCTTCACAGTAACACCCCCAGCCTCAGGCTCTAGAGCTCCTGGTGAGGAAGAACATGGGCAAAAGGCACCATTCCCAGGAAGTCCTCAGGGGAAGTGAGGCCAGATGCCCTACAGGAAAATGGGACGATCTTTAATGGTCTGTAGGGTGCCTGTAAGGCATTTCCAGGTACGCTGGGAGACTGCAGAAAGGAGGTAGTCGTTGCTGAGAAAGGCTAAGTGGAGGTAGGAAGACAAAGGCGAAGGGATGGGGAACAATCCAGCTCTCTTATAAATGAATACACAACCTTGAGCGCAGATGCCACCTTCTCTGAACCTCCATCTCAGCTGTGAGATGGGGAGAACAATGGTATAGACACAGGAGGAACCGTTCCCTTGCCCGACTTTCCGAAATTCGCCATGACCCCAGAGCTTCTCTGACTGTACTTCCCTCTGCCAAGAGAAGAAGCCCGCATGATGGTCATGAACCTGGTGTGAGGCCAGGGACACAACGTCAGCCCTGTTCAGGCTTCTACTAGCTGGTGCTATATTCCCTGGACAGTGTTTAATCAATACCTATTCTGTGCCAAAGACTGTGCTGGGTGCTGAGGGCACAAAAGCAAAGAGAAAACATAAGGACCTTCCTTGATTGGACAGGAGCTTGAGAGCCTGAGAAGACTAAGATTCTGAGCAGGGGGAAGGGTGAGCACAAAGATCCCGTGGTAGGCAGGGAAGCCAAGAAGACTAGAGCAGTGGGGAAGTCAGGCTCCCAGGCAGGGATGGAAGGGTGGGAGATGCCGAAGGGCAGGGTACAGGCTTGGGCTGTTTTTCTAAGATCAATTGGAAACCGCTGAAGAGTCTGAGGCTGTCATGGAAAGCAAATTGGGGGTGGGGACCAGAGTGGAAGAGGCAGATTCTCCTCAGCAAGGAGTCTCACCTGTCTTTGGGGATTCAGGGGTATGATGACTGAAGCTTTCTCACATGGTTGCAGGGCTACCTGGCACCAGGCCTGGAATGTTGGAATGTGATAGGCATTTTTCATTATTGACACAGGCCCTCCTGTTCCAGCATCAACAGGTGAGAGCCTTCAACTGCAGGACTGGATCAATTCTCCTTCCAACCAAACCAAACCACACAAACCACCACCACCCAAAGCACACAGGAATCGCTTCTCATCCCTAAACTATGATCCACTGAAATGGGAAGATGGGAGCTCAGCTTTCTGAATTTTCCTGTCAGAATCCCGAAGGGCTCATTTTCCAGACTCCTTATTCAGCATGCATGCTCTAATTAGGCTTCTCAGACCCGAGCCCCTCATGCATTTTTCTATCCCCCTCCTTCTCCATCTCTTCCATAAAAATACTTGACCTGGCATTCCAGCCAGTTACACCCACCCTCATCCTATTAGGCAACTCTTCCTCCTCTCTAATTACAGGAAAAGGGGGGGAATGCCCAGAAAAATGGCCCAGCTTCAAGAACTGAAAGAGAGCACCAGCTGGGGGATGTGGGAGAAGGATCAGATCGGGGCCGCAATGCCTGACATTCCATCAGCAGCAAGGGGTCACCACTGGCCTGATCAAGGATGAAGCCATCTTTCCTGAGGAAGGGCTCAGAGCTAATGCTGCCCCATCTGAACTTGTTACAGAGGTGGAGAGGCATAGCAGTCACCTCTTGGGGGTGTCTCTAAGCCAAAAGTCCTACTATTTGAGAACTGTGTGCCCCCACCGATAGGAATGGGCTTATCAAGGTCATGTTTATACTGCTTGATCTTACTCAAGAGTCATGGCTGATTGGGCAAAGAGGAATCTAGTCCAAGCTGGACCAATTAAATTATTTCCTCTGAATCTTACGGCCTCTTCCTAGCTGAGGGACCTCAGGCAAGCACACAAACTTACTAGGTTTCATTTTCCTCACTTCTAAAATGGGAATAACAACAATGCCTACGTCATATGGTGATTGTCTGGATTATCTGATTAAGAAAACAACACACTTAAAGTCCTTGGCCCGTGCCTGGCACATAGCCAAGGACCAAGAAGTGTTCGCTCAACTTCCTAGTATTGATTTAGAACTGGGATTCAGTGACACTAGGCAGCCACTGGATACTCTCTTACTGGAAGCACACGAGCTGTGAGGTGTCGCATTCGATCAGGTGAAACCAAACACAGAACATAAACCTGCAGGAAGAAAAAGACCAAGTCCAGGAAAGATAGGACAAGATGAAGACAGACAAGGTAGCCCAGATTCAAGTAGAGACTAGGAAGTAGAGAAAGGATGGTGGCTTCACGGCCCGAGACGGCCGCATTCCTGGTTGTAATCCCTCATGAAGTCCATCTGCCCTGGGAGCTTCCCAGGGAGTTCCTCTTCCGGCTAAACTAGGCCAAAGTATATTCTTTGCTGTTAACTTGCAACCTGTGGCTCCCTGGCATCACTGGAGAGGGAAAAGGGCATCTACTTCCTGAATGAAAGACTTGCTTCCTTTACTGCCCAGTGCAATCCTGGCACCAAGCACAGCACCAGGAACAGGTGCTCAGTGAATGCACATCAAATGAACAAATGAATGAACAAATCAACATGGGCCAACAAACTAAATAGTAGTAAGTCAAGCTAAGGTGCTCTGGTCACTAGGTTCCTTCCCCCTCATCTCAGAATGGCAGTCTCTTCCCTCCCTCCCTCCCTCGGCCTTGGGGCAGGTCTCCAGTACAGTCTCACCTGCAGGATGAGCAACATCTGGACAATGGACGAGGGCAGCTTGGACTGGGCCAGCAGCAGCAAGTCACCCAGCTTCACCTTCAGCAGGACCAGGTCTCGGAAGCCCAGCAGGGAGATCTGGCGGATAGTCAGCTCCTGGCCCTAGAGCGAACAGAGGAGGGAGGGCTGGAAGGTGAGAGCTCACTGAATCTGCCACCAACCACGTGGGGTTTAAGACAGCACATGTTTAAGTAGCACCAAAGATGAGATGAGGTGTCTGCAAGGGCTAGTGTGTCTTTCAAGAGTCAAAGACCTGGCTCCTGTCCCCTAGAATCAAAATATTGTTAAGATAAGGCGTGACTCAACCTGCCTACCTAAATGACCCAGAGACAATACACGGCGCATATAATAGGGCACAGTATTATCAGTGTTATGAGTTATTAGGAAGGAGAAAGAGGGGAGAAACAAAGGAAAGAACAATACTACCTCCTACATTCAAGGCTACATTTCCCAACTTCTTTTGTAATATATCTGAACACCTATCATACAAATAAAGAAGGAAAACATGGGACCTCTTAGATTGTTTGTTAAATACCAGTAACTTAGGAAGAAAAATAAATAGAAAAGTAAAAGGAAAGGGATTTGTCCAACTGTGGGGGTGGGGTAAGGAGCAGAAGGGGAAAATAATAACTATATATAAGCCAACATTTATTAAATTCTATGTGCCAGGCATGAGTCTACATATTTTAGGTGTAAACAACACACGTAGTCCCCACATCCCCACAACCAACCTTTGAGACAGGTACCATTGTAAAACCCATTTCACAGATGAAACACCCAAAAACCCAGAGAGTTAATATAGTCTACCCAAAGTAAAGCTCGGTTTCAAACGCAAACTTCTTGATTTTAGAGCTCCTCAAGTTTCCCCAGACCGAAAGAGAAAGGAAGTGCGTTTTTCAGCCTCTCCTTTGCGCACACACATGCAATGCACACTAAAAGTTGGTTGTTCTTGGTAGAGCCAAACCCGTTTCACAGATGAAACACCCAGAAACCCAGGCAGTTACTATAATTCACCCAAAGCGGAGCTGGGTTTCCAACCCAAACTTCTTGATTTTAGAGCTCAAGTTTTCAAAACAAAAGAAAAAAGAGGGTTCATTTTTCAGACTCTCCCTTACACACAGTCATACAAATGCACACTAAAAGTTGGTTGTTTTTGGTAGAACCAAAGACCTCATTAGGGAACCCTCCAGAGCTGACCAAGGTTTAAGGATGTTTTATACTTCCTACAACTCCGTAGGGTTTTATAGAAACATGGTCAAGAGTGGTTTTGCTATCTCTGTATCCCCTGACCCCCCACATCCAACACATAGACACAATCACCACCCATACCTTTCAATAACATAAACAATTATAAACAGAGCTCACATTATGTTGTATGCTTTAAATACCTTATCTTATAATGAGGGACTCTGATTGGGTTTTATTCTTTCAGTATCTCTGAAAAGTTGGCCAGTTGGTACTACCTCTGTTGGATGGATTGATGGACAGAGATGCTGAGGCACGAGGAGAGAGCCAGCATTAGGCACCATTATTCTAGCCAGCCCCTGGGTCTTGGTCCTGTATGATGTTGGAAGCAGAGGGGATATAACCAACTTTTGTTGACAACCTTCCAGGGAAGGGAACAGAACTGTTTGATTTAAACTATAGAATGTGGGAAGAGAGGAGGCGGAAGACTGGGGCATGCAACCTTCTGGAAACTAGAACAGCAGTTCTGGTGGGAAGGGAAGACTATAAGGCAAAAGGAAACAATTTTAGGACCTCCTGCTCCAACAACTGCCAAATCACTTTCCAGAACTGATTTTCTAGGAACTCCCTACAAGGTCACCAAGGCATCCCGAAGGAGTCTTTATTCCCAGAACCGCACTCCAAAAAGACAATTGTTTGCCTTATTGTTTTTGGTTTTATATTTAAATCATAAAATATTTAAAGGCAAAGATTACAACAGGTCAGAAAAAGGACTTAAGGTAAGTTACAAGTTCTCTTCCTCTAATTTCTTATTCTCTCTCCACACTGGTAACTGCTCCTTGAGGTTTTTATTTATATTCTGGATTTCTCCAGAAAGTTCCTATATCCACAAAATCACATATAAAACCTTTAAGCCCACACAGAGATTATGCCCCTCCTACTGTTCTGCAGCTTGCTTTTGTTTCACTTTGCATATTTGAGACATCTTTTCATACCAGCACATATCGACGCACCTCACTCTTCTTTAAGGCTGCATAATATTCCACCACGATATGAACACACTCTATGTAACCACCCTTCTCCTGACCAAGATGCTTTCATTTGAACACGTGTGTGTTTTAAACATATTCATCCATGCCACGTTGGGCACTTTTATCAGCATATCGAGATTATTCTCTTGCAAAGGAAAATTACTCAAATCAAAATATGCCTTTAATAAAAAGTCTCACAGATACTGCCATGTTGCTTTCCAGAAAGACTGCATCTATTGTACTGCAAGCAAGAGTAGGATGATTAGGAAAATACAGGCCATAACCCCACTTAGGCAACTCTCAGGGGCTGTGCCCACATTTCCATAACAGTACCAGTATATGGTAGACACTCAACAGTCACCCATTGTCAACTCATCTGCTCAGCCCATGACATGGGAAAAACAAGTCCAAATAGCTGGATTATCTGCTGTGATTCCAACATACTTTGTTGTATAGAGAATAGTAATAATAATGATATTGATGATGATGGTGACATTTCTTAAGCCTTTACTATATGTCATATGCAAAATTAAGTGCTTTTCATGTATTATCTCACTCACTCTTCTTAACACCCTTGCAAAGCATGTTTTCTTACTTTCTAGAAGAAAACCAAGGCTCATAGAGGCAAAGTTATCTTCCCAAAAATATCAAGATGATAAGGGCAGACTGAGGATGTGAACCCAGGTCAGTAACGTGGTTTGGATATTCATCCCCTTCAAATCCCATGTTGAAATCTTTTCTCCAGTGTTATAGGTGGGGCCTAGTAGGAGGTGTTTGGGTCATGGGGGCAGATCTCCCATGAATGGCTTAGGTGTCCTCCCCTTGGTGATCAGTGAGTTCTCAATTAATTCACACAAGAGCTAATTGTTTAAAAGAGCCTGGCACCTCTTCCTCCATTTCTTGTGCCCTTCTCTCATCACGTGACCCCCTGGCTCCCTATCACCTTCCAACATGGTTGTAAGCTTCCTGAAGCCTCACCGGGAGCAGATGCTGATATGTGTGTTTTACACAGCCTGCAGAACCATGAGCCAAATAATAAATGTTTTTTTAAAATAAATTATCCAGTCTCCGGTATTCCTTTATAGCAATGCAGAATGAACTAATACAGAAAATTGGTACCAAGGAGTAGAATGTTGCTCTGAAGTTACCTGAAGGTGTGAAAATAGCTCTAGAACTGGGTAATGGTTGAAAGAGTTTAGAGGGCTCAGGGCTCAAAAGATGACAAAAAGACAAGGGAATGTTAGAACTTCTTAAAGACTAGTTAAATGATTATAACTAAATGCTGATAGAAATAAGAACAGTAAAGGCCAGGCTGCGGTGGTCTCAGATGCAAATGAGGAAGTTATTAGGAACTGGAATAAAGGTCACCCTTGTCCTACCCTAGCAAAGAACTTGGCTGCATTGTTTCCATGCCCTGGGGATTTGTGGGAGGTTGAAGTTAAGAGTGATGACTTAGAGTATCTGGTAAAATAAATTTTTAGGCTGGGCATGGTGGCTCAGGCCTGTAATCCCAGCACTTTGGGAGGCTGAGGCAGGTGGATCACAAGGTCAGGAGTTCAAGACCAGCCTGGTTAATATGGTGAAACCCCATCTCTCCTGAAAATACAAATATTAGCTGGGCATGGTGGCAGGTGCCTGTAATCCCAGCTACTCAGGAGGCTAAGGCAGGAGCATCACTTGAACCTGAGAGGTGAAGGTTGCAGTGAGCCAAGATCGTGCCACTGCACTTCAGCCTGGTAACAAAGTGAGACTTCATCTCAAAAAAACAAACAAACAAAAAAACATTTTCAAAGGAGCAAAGCATTCGAGATGTGGCATAGCTGCTTCTAACAGCCTAAGATCAGGAATAGGTAAGAAGGAATGACTTAAAGTTGGAACTTTTAATTAAAAGAAAAACAGAACATAAAAATTTGAAAAATTTGCAACCTGGCCATGCAATGAAGAAGGAAAAGGCATTTGCAGGAGAGAAATACAAGTGAGCTGTGGAACAATCACTTCCTAGAGAGATTTGCATGACTAAAAGGGAAACAGATGCTGATAGCCAAGACCACAGTTTTAAAAAGGCCTTGAAGTCATTTCAGAAACCTCTGGGACAGTCCCTCCCATTATAGACCCAGAGACCTAAGAGGAAATTATGGTTTTGGAGGCCACGCTCAGGGGATGCCCAGTACTACCTCAGGACACTGCTCCCCACATCCCAGTTTCTCTGGCTCCAGCTGTGGCTCAAAGTGTCCCAGGTACCATTCTAGCTGCTACTCTGGAGGGAATAAGCTGTAACCCTCGGTGGCTTCCACATAGTGCTAAGTCTGCAGGTGCACAGAGTGCAAGAGAGAAGGAGGCTTTGCAACTCCCACCAAGATTTCAGAAGACATATGGAAAATCCTGGGTGCCCAAGCAGAAGCCTACCACAGAGGTGGAGCCCCCACAAAGAGACTCTACTAGGGCAGTGCCAGGGGGAAATGTGGGCTTGGATCCCCTGACACAGTCCCCAAAGGGCCACTTCCTAGTGGAGCTGTGGGAAGGGGGTTGCTGCCTTCTAGACCCAAGAAGGGTAGAGACACCAGTTCACACCCGGAGCCTGGAAAAACCACAGGCACTCAACTCCAATCTGTGAGAGCAGCAGAGCAGCCCCAGGGGCTGCCCTTCAAAGCCACAGAGGCAGAACTGCCCAGGACCTTGTGAGCCATCCTTTGCATCCAGTGTGCCCTGGATGTGAGACACGGGGTCAAAGATTATTTTAAAGGTTTAAGATTTAATGCCTGCCCTGTGTTTCAGACTCAATTGGGGCCTGGCTGTCCCTTTCTTTTGGCCAAATTCTCCCTTTTGGAATGGGAATGTTTACCCAATGCCTGTGCACCATTGTATCTTGGAAGTAAATAACTTGTTCTTGATTTTACAAGCTCAAGGAACTTGCCTTGAGTCTCAGACGAGATTCTGAAATTTTTAATTGAGTTGATGCTGGAATGAGTTAAGACTTTAGGGGACTACTGAGCAGTGATGATTATATTTTGCGATGTGAGAAGGACATGAGATTTGGAGTACCAGGAACAGAATACTATGGCTTAGATATTTGTCCCCTCCAAAACTCATGTTGAAATGTGATCTCCTGTGTTTGAGGTGGGGCCTGGTAGGAGGCATTTGAGTCATGGGGGTAAATCCCTCAAGAATAGCTTGGTGTCCACCCCTTGGTAATGAGTGAGCTCTCACTCTTTAGTGAGTTTTCTCTCTATTAGTATTAGAGAGCTAGTTGTTTTAAAAAGTCTGGCACCTCCTCCCCATCTCTTGCTTCCTCTCTTGCTGTGTGATATACTCGGTCTCCTATTGCTTTCTGCCATGAGTGAAAGCTTGCTGTGGCTTTACCTGGAGCAGATGTTGGCAACTACACTTCTTGTTCAGCCTACAGAACCATAAGCCAAACAAGCCTCTTTTCTTTATAAACCACCCAGTCTCGGGTATTCCTTTATAGCAACACAAACAGATTAACAGTCAGTCATGAGCTAACTCTGCAGCTCATGCTATGAACCTCTTTGTTCCTCTTTGTTGCTGCTCCCCATCCCTCATTTCTTCCCCAGATTATTCTGTTGCCATCCCTTCTTCACATGAAATACCTGTAGTCACTTGGGTCTAGACTGGGCATGGGTAGTTACAGCACTCACCTGGAGAACATGACCGATTTTGCCTTTGGAGCTTCTAAGCCCACAGTTAAACATTACACTCTCAGAAGAAAAGGCCTGGGTTTATAAGTGACCAGTGGGACATGTTGAATCAGTACATAGTGCCTTCTGTGTTTAAAGGCAAATTGAACTGGGCCAAGGTCAGCAACATGCCACCACCATTTATGTCAGAACTGGCTCCAACATCCCAATTTCTCAATACCTAAATCCCTCCTCAGCATGGGCGGTGGAGGGGAGCTTTATCTTGAGAACTCCCCGCTGGTTCCCAACCCATAAAGGACTTTTCTGTATGCAGAATCTGGCCTTTGATGCAGGTAAAAATACTTTTAAGGGAAGGTGTAGGGTAGCCAGTTTATACCAACCTGCCACATAAACAAGTTAATCATTGCTGCCTTAGAGGATCATTCGGAGCCATTAACCAGAGCACTGGCTTGTTAAAAGTCCTTAGCCATCTCTTAGGCCCATAGTGAATCAGAGAAGGAATTCATACTAATCCAGAACTGGCTTTTCTTGTTTTAGGGTTGGGGCAGGGGGAAAGCCTAATAAAACCAAGCCAGTCTCCTCACAACCTATGTCCCCCCTAAAAATAGCAGTGCATATCCCTGTTACCCAAATGCCATCCAGTTTCTCTAGGCTAAGCACACATACAGTCCAATACAACTATAAATATGTGGACCTGGATCAGCTGAGAACAAAAAGGAGGAAGGGGCACAATTTGCCTCCTTCTGGGCATCCTATATACTTTTGATGCCCATTTGCTACAGATATTCCCCACTCCCCTGGAATATTTCCTGTCCACAATCTGAATTGGGACGTGTACATCACACCCATATCCAATTCAGCTAATTGAATAAAGCAGAGTTAGCACATGCGAATGGCCTCAGGAGTTGACAGGGTGCGGGCCATGGCAAACTGGAGAAGAGAAGGACAATTCAAGTCAGTCACTGAGGAGTGAGGAGGTGAACAGGGGCAATATTAATTGCTGCCAGATCTTACCATCTTTCAAGAAAAGTAAAACAGAGATATCCTTAGACCCACATGTCTGAGCTCCTGCCTGGCTCTGAGCTTTTAAGACCAGCACCCTCCCCCTGACCCCAACCTTTGCCTTTTTGACTATACTGGAGCCATGTCCACCCAGATCCTGCATTCTCCATTCTAGAACCATCTGGACACCTGCAGCTCAGAGTTCCCTATACAAATGGCTGGAAGGGAGACCCAGTGCCCCTTGAAATGGTGGTTCCAAGTTGCTGTCTTGGGTCTGGTTCAGTTTGCCTTTAAACACAGGAGGTGCCAGATACTGATTCAACAACCTCTTCGTTCGCTTATGAATCCACCCCCTCTCTAGTAGCCTTGCCGGATAAAACACAGGATGTCTATTTGAAGGGTTTTTCAATATAAGTATGTCCCAAATAGGCCGGGCACAGTGGCTCATGCCTATAATCCCAGCACTGTGGGAGGCCAAGGCGCGTGGATCACAAGGTCAAGAGATCGAGACCATCCTGGTCAACAAGGTGAAACCACATCTCTACTAAAAATACAAATATTAGCTGGCCATGGTGGTGTGCACCTGTAGTCCCAGCTACTCGGGAGGCTGAGGCAGGAGAATTGCTTGAACCCAGAAGGCGGAGGTTTCGGTGAGCTGAGATCGTGCCATTGCACTCCAGTCTGGGTAACAACAGCGAAACTCCGTCTCAAAAAAAAAAGAAAAAAAAATATGTCCCAAATATTGCATTATTTGTTTATATATGCAATTCAAATATAACTCAACATCCTGTATTTTTTATTTATTTATTTTGAGACAGGGTTTTGCTCTGTCACTGAGGTTGTAGTGCCATGGTGCAATCTTGGCTCACTGCAGCTTCGATCTCCTGGGCTCAAGCGATCCTCCTACTTCAGCCTCCCTAGTACCTGAGACTACAGACACATGCCACCACGCCTGGCTAATTTTTTTTAATAGATGGGTTTTTATCATGTTGCCCAGCCTGGCCTCAAACTCCTGAGCTCAAGCGATCTACCTACCTCAACCTCCCAAAGTGCTGGGTTACAGGTGTGAGCCACCGTCCCCAGACAACATCCTGTATCTTTACTGCTTAACCTGGCAACCTTATCCCCATGTCTGGCTTTCTGAGAGAGGACTCACTGCTGGCTGATGCATGACCATTGCAAGGGAGGGGAAGGTTTCTGCAGGTTACAGGTCAGAGCCTTCTATCTGTACTATCTTACTGGAAGTGTTATGGGGTGGACCTAACATGGGAAATGAAATCTATAAGCATAACCTCCTGGGTTTTAAATATTTGACATATGTTTTAAACAATTCAAAATTTCTTTAAAACACTGTTCAGACTAAACAATCCACGTGGGCCTTGACCTCTGGCATAAGGTAATTCTACCCACTGCTAATGGCTGTGTTCCTCTGCATACCACACCCACAATTCATTACTACCTAATTATATACGAAGCTTCAACCCCAGTGGGAGGAGTTGAGGGGTGAGCACACTGCAGCTTAAGTGAGAGAGACATGTATTTTGGAGAGGAACATTTATAGGTCAACCTTCCTTTGGGATGGTGCCGACCTGGCAGTGATGATCATGGTATTACATGATCTTAGCTCCACAGAAAGAAGGGGCAAGGATATCAACACAAACCGTAGGAGTGGAGGTCACAGAATAAGAATGCTAGAGATGTCATTCATATTTTACTCTAACTTCCTCGTTTTGCAGGAGATGGAGCTATGCTCACAGAAGATAAATGACTGTGCCCACACCCACACTCTGGAATCTAAGTCTATAGATTCCTAGTTCAGAGTTCTTCCTACTAAATCACATGGGATCCCTTACAGAGGGCATGGAATGCGACTTCTCTTTCATGATTTGAGGGCAACAGAAAACTAGCCTTAAAATTATACTTCAAAAAAAAAAAAGAGAAGAAAGAAAAGAGGCAGGGGAGAGAAAAAAGAAACAAGAAATCATCCTCCCCGCATCTTCTCTACTTCTGGAAACTAAGAAAAACAAACCACTCCAAGAATATAACGACACACTCAAAACCAAGAGGGTAACTAGAGCCTACAAATTGCTAGTTATGTGGGCACTCTTCTTCACTTGAAGTTAGGTACTAAATATAGAACCAGAGAGCCCTTAAAAGATCTCTAAACTCCTTAACCAATGCAAGTGCTCAGTTTCCAAGTTTTCCCCCAATCACCAGGGACCCCCAGGCCACAAACGCCAAGAGAGAAGACACATTGCTGAGGATGTCAGGAAGTGTCTCCCAGTTAGACTAACCTGAACTGGATAAAATATTGCTTGCAGGGTAGGGAGAGTCTCAGTGAAGAAGTGGTCCCAGACTTCAGCCAGAACCTCAATGCGATTTTCACCTACAAGATGGCGAGAAGATGGGAGGGGAGGAAGAAAGAAAAGAACTTATTACTTGTAGGAAAGCCCAGAAGACAGTTCCACATAAAATATAAAGTTGCATATGCTAAAACTTGCAGCCAGGAGATATTGAAGTCCAGAGAGCAGGTGTGATGCTACAGGATCTTTATTCCAGGCCAAGGTCAACAGAAATTCTCAGAGCAGAAATATATTCAGACTCACATGGATGCATGTATCGATCCTAACTCACTGGTCTTACTAATAAGCAACCTAAACTTACTAATATTCACTAGTAAGACTCTGAATGGGAGGTTCAGCATTAAGTGAGGGGAGGGAAGAGAGCGCATTGCTTACATTTGATCTACATTTGATCTACAAGGTGTTACTATAGTAAATGTAGGACCGGGTGGGAAAACTCAACTGAAAATATGCAAATGTGCCTTTCCATCCTCCAATCCCAAAAAGGGAGCTGACATCTTAAAATCACATCGTAATTGTCATCATGTCAATGGTTATAACATTATCCGGCACTATGCTAGTTTACTTATCCATAAGATATCTCAAGACTAGAATGTAATACCCCCGCTTTACAGGCTCACAGAGAGGTCAACTAACTGCCCCAAAGACACACAGCTCAAAGGCATAGCTGAGATTCCAGAACCCATGCTCTTGACCAATCTAATCCAGGAAGATCGTGTGCACAGTTATATAATGTTTTGTTTTCTTACTCATTAGGACACCGGCTTTATTCTTGGTTTCAGCTGTCAGTGGAGAGAGGCAGAAAGAGGACCTGGAAACTGTTCCCTCCACCCACTTCTTTTACAGTAACTGGGAGGGCAGCATTCTCTGAAAAGGCCATCTGCAAAACATAGCACCTGCCTCCTGATCCTGTCCCTACTCACCCCTAGGATCAGGAAGCCTAAGTTATGGCCAAGTGTCTCTGCTACCCCAGGCTGGAGCACACAGGTCACCTGATGCCATCAGAAGGCGGTGCGAGGAGCTTTGCACCTCCAGGAAAGACGGGCCCTGGCAGAGAGAAGCCTGCATGGCAGTTGCTGTTTAATGACCTAGATATCAGAGCTGATATTGGTCACTGCCTCTGCTCATCCCAGGCAGAGAAACTGGGTCAGCCAAGATTAGACACTGAGAGAAGCGTTTGGCAAGACACTGCCAGTTCCACTGAATAAATCTTGAAAGATTCATTTGGCGCCTCCTGTCTATTAATTTAATGGGCAATAAAAGCAGTAGCTTGGGAGAGAGAATAGAACAAGGGCATGACTAGTAGCCAGCAGGTCCAAAGACATGCAAATTTTGAAAGGTCAGGGTGAAATACACAGGAGGAAAATGCAAATCCAGGGCACCCTCAACTTTCCTGTGCAAAGCACCGATCACACTTTAGTGGAATGGCTTATTCACTTATTCTGTCTCGTCACTGGAGTGGGAGTAGGAATGGGGCCCCGTCTGTCTTGCTCATCACACTATGTTGCTAGTGCTTAGCGTGGTGCCAGACACATCGATAAATCAATCTTTTAAAATCTTTGCATGAATGGATGAAAAGTGCCAAGTGTATAGGTTTTTGTAGATCCTGGGGCTGGTGAGTGAAAGGCGGTTAAAATGTTACCCAAATATGGGACAGTGTAGAACAGGACTTAATAGTTAGCAATGAACATTTTCCTTTGCTCCTAGGATAAAGAAAACCTCACTAACATGATGTACACAGCCCAGGAGAATCTGCCTCCTCCTTCTGGGCCTTGATCCTCTTCTGTATTCCTGTCGGCCTTTGGACTCTAATTGACCTTCTTGCAGTCACCCTGCTCTCTTGTGCCACAGGGCCTTTGCACATGCTAGCCCTTTTGCCTTGACTGCTTTTTCTTTCCCTTCTTTACCTAACCTACTTCTGTTTATCTTTCTAGTTGCACCTTGAACATCTCTTCTAGGGGGAATTCTCTCCCCACTGGTCAAACCACCTAGCTGCAGACTGTATTCTTAGTACTTGTCCTGGGTATTGTTGTATATTTGGTAATGATTTGATTCAAGTGTGAGCTCCATGAGGGCCTGTAATCCTGTGATGGTATTTCTGACTCCTGACTCCCCAGCACCTACCAAAGTACTGTCTCATGGTAGATAATCAAATAAATATTTGATAGAAGCAATTGTCATGCTCTTTCAAATGTAGGCTATGCTATTTTACTGCAGGGAGGGGGAAGGGGAAGTCCAAAAGGACCGTCTCACATAATGAGTCCTCCTGGTTCCTAAAACCAAGGTGAACTCCAGCACCTGGATAATGAACCTCCCAAAGGGCAAAAAGCTGCTCCAGCTTCTTTGTTGATGTCCTTTGTCTTAAGCCTTCCACAACCAAGACAAGCAGAAGCGCTTTTGATCTGAAGGAGGGGAAGGAGAGAGAATCTTGCAGGTCAGCACTGGTACCTACTTACTCCCCCTTTCAGTGCCGAGACAGGAAGCTCATTGACACACGAGGTAACCCTGCAACCCAGCAGCAGTAAGATGCCTCCTGAGAACCCAGGTCTAATTGCTGGCTGCAAACTTCAGAGAGTAATGGAGGTTTTGGAAAGTGTTCAGAGAACATCAGACAGACACAGACACAGAAACAGGGTAGCCCTGGGGGAGAAAGAGGTAAAGAACACAGTTGCCTTCCCATCCAGAAACACCTCGTAAGTCAAGGACTTAGCTCCCTGCAAAAATAAAGGGGGTTGAATGGACGGCTCTAGATGACTGTCCTATAAATCTGCCCTCTAATGTATCACATCAGTGTAGGTCACCAGGAGTATATAGATAAGTGTAAGAAACTTCTTAAGAGTCAAGGTCACTAAGGCTCTAGAAAGATTACTGAAGTTAACATGGTGTCTTCTGCTTGCAAAAGAGCAACAGGTGGATATGAACGGCCACCTGCCTTTTCGGCAGCAGTGAAGGAGGGGTGTGTATACATAGACATGTGAGTACCTGAGCAGAGATGTCAACGAAGAGGAGTCTGTTCAGCGACTGGACAGATCATATTAATTGTTTTCCAACTTTAGTTTATAGCAAGAGAATCCTTTTATCTGAACAAAATTTTTCTTCAGTTCTAACACAGAAAATTAAAAAGTAGAGATGCCTGGTTGAAAACAGCAAAGTCCCTTACGTGTCCCGCCACCCCCGTGCCCAGTCACTGTACAGAAAAAGCCCTGACACCCAGAACTCTAGGTCTAGAAGAAACTCAGAGAGAACACCCCAGGCCTGGTGCCCTCAGGCCACGCCAGGGCAGGGGCACAGAATCTTGGATGAACTTTGTTCACCCTGTCTAGCCCATTTCTGAGTTTTCACTCTGAGTGTATCTACGATGAGGGTTCCTTGGTGAGAGACACTCAACTTCCCCTTTTAAGAGCCCTTGGACCTCTGGTTTTATTTGGTATCTTTTTCATAGAGCTGTTTTTCCACGTTTCCAGGAGCTTGTACTAACTCCCCAGATAACATACAATGAATGAGGCCAGGGACAATGTTTCTCTTCCCTCCCTTTACCAGGCAGTTGTCTTCCACGTTTTTGTACTAGCCTGACCTCAAAATACACAAGAGGGCTGGGCGTAGTGCCTCATGCCTGTAATCCCAGCACTTTGGGAGGCCAAGACGGGTGGATCACTTGAGGTCAGGAGGCGAGACCCGCCTGGCCAACATGGTGAAACCCCTACTAAAAATACAAAAATTAGCCAGGCATGGTGCCACATGCCTATAATCCCAGCTACTCAAGAGGCTGAGCTATAGGAATCGCTTGAACCCGGGAGGCAGAGGTTGCAGTGAGCCAAGATCACTCCACTGTACTCCAGACTGGGCCACAGAAGTGAAACTCTGTCTCAAAAAAAAAGCAAAAGAGCCACTAAATTCCTGGTCAAAGCAAGTCACCTAAAAATAATCCCCTTCCTTTGACACATGAGAAGTAAAGCAAATATAGCAAACACCTACAATGGAACATTCGCCTTAAAATAAGAAGGGAATCCTGTCACATGCTACAACATGAATTTGAGGACCTTATGCCGAATGAAACTAAGGCAGTTGCAAAAGGACAAATACTGTATGATTCCACTTATAAGATGCCTAGAATAGTCAAAAGCATGGATACAAAAAGTAGGATGGTGGCTGTCAGGGGCTGAGGAAAGGGGTCAATGGGGAGTTGTGGAATGGACATGGAGTCTCCATTTTGCAAGATCAAGTTCTAGAGATCTGTTATGGAACAATGTGAATATGATTAACACAACGCCACTGCACAAGTGCCGAAACTATAAAGAGGGTACATTTTATATTGTGTGAGGTTTTTTTTAACCCACAATTAAAAATTTTTTCTCTAAGGGCCTTGGGTTACTGGGTACTTATAAGGTTGAAAAAAATCACGGCATAGATGTATTCAAGGGAAGAATGTACAGGTTCAGACAACTCTCAAATGTGCAAAGGTTAATTTCTAACCTCTGTTCTTCCCAAGGCTTGGTCAGCATTTACTGTGTGCCAGATTTTGGGGCTTTCCAGCGTCAGTTTCTCATTTTCCTTCCTACTTTGTCTTTCTAGGAGCCCCTTTCCTGGACACACTGGTGTCTTTCCCAGGGAATGGGAAGAAACAAAAGGATGATGACATGACACACCTAATAAGTCTGGGTCTGGAAATAAGTTTGATCTATGGGTCATTAGGCTGGAGCAGAAAAAAAGAAAGGGTTTGGAGTGGACACCTGCTGTGTGCATTACGTTACTCATGTGCCTTCCCTTCCCTACAACCCCTCACCCCAATTTATCACTTCAAATATGACAAAAGCTGAGACTGGGAGGAACTAGTAACTAACCGAAAGTCATCCAAGAAGTAGGTGGCAAGCTGAGATCAAGCCCTACTTTGTGGGAGCTAAGAGTAGCCCTTGGTAGAGTCACGGGTTTGCCCAGTTCTTGCCTTTGGAATCTGTTTCCATCTTTATTCTGTTTCTTTCTATCCTGTCAGTTGGACTTTAAAATCTAAGATAAGGAAATTTCCCTGCGTCTATCAAATCATACCCTTTTGAGTGAGTACCTGCTTAGACTAACGTCTCCACAAATGGACAGGACTCCTCTCTTCTAGAACTCCCCCAAAATATTACAAAGACCTGTAGGAAATAGCTCAGAGCAGACCAGAAGAAATATTACAAAGACATGTAGGAAACAGCTTAACTTGTACCTTCAAAGGAGACCACCACTCTACATACCATTAAAAAAAAAAAAAACCTTAAGGCCAGGTGCGGTGGTTCACACCTGTAATCTCAGCACTTTGGGAGGCCAAGGCAGGTGAAGCACCTGAGGTTAGGAGTTCAAGACCAGCCTGACCAACATGGAGAAACCCCGTCTCTACTAAAAATACAAAAATTCGCCAGGTGTGGTGGCACACGCCTATAATCCCAGCTACTTGGGAGGCTGAGGCAGGAGAATCTATTGAACCCAGGAGGCGAGGTTGTGGTGAGCCGAGGACGCACCACTGCACTCCAGCCTGGGCAACAGAGCAAGACTCTGTCTCAAAACTAACAAACAAAAAAACCTTTAACGAGGTCTCCAAAGAAACCACCCCATTGCACTACATTTTTTAGAAACACAGTTCTGACTTGCACTGCTGTGAGCAGCTGACTGAAATGAAAGGACTGCTGCCTAGGTGGGGAGGAAATGGACAGGGTGAATCACTCACTTGGAGACTGCCACTTCTGGACAGAACCATCTCAGCTGTCCAAACATCAAAGGCTGAGTCACAGGGGCCCTAATCTACCAGGGCTGTCTTGTACTTGCCTTCACACAGCTTGATCTTCTCCTCCACAAAGAACAGTCCTTTTGCAAGAAGCTGGTTCTGCCAAAAGAGAAGAAAGAACATAAGAGTCTGGGCAACTCCAGAGCGTGAGAGATGAACCCTCTTCCGCTTCCAGTGGGCAAGGACACAGAGCTCTAGGCACTTCTGTTCTAGCCTCTGAGTTAAGAAGCCTTTTGTCCTCTTGGAATGCCAAGGCTTCAGGAGCAGACAGCGAGACTTCCCACAGCAAAAGAGCGAGTGAGGTAAGAGACAAACACAGCCGTCACCCTCATCCCTCAGACCAGGGAAGTGGCATGACACAAGCCTGGATGAATTCACCATTGTTGACACCCAGTGTCCTAGAGGCCCTTAGTGGTCTAAACTCACAAAAGGGAGCACTGAGGCAATGGGAAACTATGCAGAAATAACACATTTTTTTAAAAAAGAGATAGATTTAGTTATTCACACTAGCATGAAAGAGACTGCGTGCAAAATCTTAGCAGCAGTGAATATGCATCTGTCAATGAATGTGTGCATGGGAAATTGTGTAAAGAGAAAGTAAAGTCCTCTTGCAACTGCAACTCCAATTGAGTGTGCTGTCTATATCATATGCTTTATATCCTTCATCTCATTTAATTCACTCCTATCAAGTTGGTGCTACTGTCCTCACTTTACTGATGGTCAGTGAAGAGACTTGCCCAAGGGAGACAGACCTGGTCTTCCTGGCTCTATAAGCCATGTTCTTTCTAATCCACTTTGCTGCCTTCCAGCAAGTCTTTCTACAAAGGCTATAGCTGGTCCCCTAAGACATGGAGCAGCCTCTCCGTGAGTCACAATAGCTCAGATATCGGTGACAGGCTGGTGTCTCCACACTCATATCATATTATTGGATTATTAAGGCCTATGCTTATGGGAGAGGCAGGGGCAAAAGTGATATGTATCTTACCAAAGTATCTAATGCATTCTTCAGCCTTCTCCTTTATAAAATCCTACTACCCTATTACAATGATAAAAGAAGCATATGGAGCAGAGTGGAAAGAACTTGGGTATCAGTTCAACTTCCAGTTCAGTGTGATTTTGTATTTAATATCCCTGAGCCTCAAGCTCCTCATCTGTAAAATGGCATAATACTAGGCTGGGCGTGGTGGCTCACGCCTGTAATCCCAGCCGTTTGGGAGGCCGAGGCGGGTGGATCATGAGGTGAAGAGATCGAGACCATCCTGGTCAACATGGTGGAAACCCGTCTCTACTAAAAATACAAAAAATTATCTGGGCACAGTGGTGCGTGCCTGTAATCCCAGCTACTCAGGAGGCTGAGGCAGGAGAATTGCCTGAACCCAGGAGGTGGAGGTTGCGGTGAGCTGAGATCACGCCATCGCACTCCAGCCTGGGTAACAAGAGCGAAACTCCATCTCAAAAAAAAAAAAAATGGCATAATACTAGAAGCACCATAACATTCTTCATTATAACCATTACAAACACATTAATCATTATAAACACATACACACAGCATTTTATATCCTTAGTAGTCAGCACTGGTGGTAGCAATAGTAATAGCTGCTATCTCAGCCCAACTTCTTCACAAAAGGAGTGGGAGGCCAAGAGTCAGTAGTGAATAGGCCTTTATAAAATGTTCTAATAGAATATTTTATCAAAGGTACTATCCCATTCCTGTGATGGATGCCCATAAACCAAATCCATACTCCTATTAAGATTTACAAAATAAGACCTAATTTGAAAAAGTAATTGGCCATCATGTGGTTCTTTTTTGAGATAGAGTCTTGATTTGTCACCCAGGCTGGAGCACAGTAATGGGATCTTGGCTCACTACAACTTCTGCCTCTCCCAGGTTCATGCAATTCTCCCACCTTAGCCTGCCAAGTAGATGGGATTACAGGTGCCCACCATCACTCCTGGCTAATTTTTGTACTTTTTTAGTAGAGACAGGATTTTACCATGTTGGCTGGGCTGGTCTCGAACTTCTGACCTCAAGTGATCTGCCGGCCTTGGCCTCCCAAAGTGCTGGGATTACAGGCATGAGCCACCACGCCCAGCCACCATGTAGTTTCAAGATGGCAGATAGAACCCCAAATCAAAGTTACAGGGACACCATATAGGAATACACCAACTTTGTTAAAGAAAAAATAAAGCAATTCCTCACAAAGGATTATGAAACACACAGGCAGTAAAGGCGAGGCCCTAACCTGTTCTTTAGCTTCCAGCCAAGTGCATGAATCCCGGTGGCTGGGTCATGGCAAGACTTTCTGGGTCAGAAAGCAAGAAAATACCCCAGGACCAAGTCAACATCTTGTGACAGCTGAGCTGGACATGAATGGTCTGTGGAGGTGTGTTCAGACAGCAGCCACTCCACCTGAATGTTTTGGAGCACAAATCTCAATGGTGCCCTGCAGTCTATGCCTGCTTGCTCCCTTTCACCTAGCCCAGGTGAGGCTCTCAGAACGTCCCGTTAGCGTTCTGTGCACGGGCTCCTGAATGCCACTCTTCTCAGTCCCTCTAGTGTCAACACTGATGTTCCAGGCTTCTACTAAAACAACTTTCCTAACCCTCCCTAATTTCACATTTCTGAGATGCACCTACAGAGGTAATCGAGATCGCCTCTGTGATGCAATTTTCATCATTTTGTTCTATCGCTGTAATTATCTACATGGGAGGAGGTTGGGGGGAACTGAGGCACTGACAGAAATAAAACCTAGTCCAGGTGATAGCATGAGTTAACAGAAATTAATTCAAACCATTCATTAGTTATAATTGTAAGTAATTAGGAGTGCGGGTCATGTCTTATTTAAGTTAGTACCCTTGGCTTCTGGTATAGTATGTAGAACATAGCAGATACCTAGTAAATATTTGCTGAATGTATATAGATACATAGATAGATAGATGCTGACTATTTTATTGATGAAGATCACTTTTTATTTTTAAGAAGCCAAGATAAAAGATAGAATATTTTTAAGAGGAATAAGTGCTATAGGGTCTCTAAGTTTGTTGCCATTTTCTTCATTTGAATTAGAAAATCATTTGAAAATTACATTGTCCCTATCCTTAAGGAATAAACCTCAAAACAAGACCTGTATTTTCCTTTCTTCTCCTTTCTAGGTCTTCTCCCTTCAAAGAGACATTAGAAAAACAATCTTTTATATATATTTTCAAGGAAAAGTAGTTATTCCTATATTATGGGGAAATGATAAAGAAAATATTCTTTTAAAACTTCTCACAGTACACAGCATGGAAATTCTATAGCTTAGATCAAAATAAGAGAAACACAAACTTGAGGTTAGAAGGGGCCTTAAGAATCACCTAGACATTCTTTCCTCTCCCTGGTCCTATGGTCAAAATCAATTGGTCACATACATTTTGATGATGTTTAGTGGATCCATTTCCATTTTCAAGGAGGCTAAGGCATCTTGAAAATCCTTATATCACCCCCTGCCCCCAGGAGACTCTCGATTTTGCTCTTATCTTATAGTTGTATAAACTGAGGCTAGAAGTGGGGCCTCCCTCTCCAAAACTCCAATAAAAGGCATGAGAGTGAGGCTCAGTCTCTCCACTACTCACCTTTTATTTAGCACACACTATTAGAGTAAGGATCTTTCAGATTAGCCAAGCCCAGGCCCCTCTTCACTGGGGAACCACCACCATCCACCCAATGGAGCTGTGCCCATTCATTCATGCCCCATTCATGCTGCATCTTCCAGCTTTGCTAATGGATCTCAAAATGAGCCCCAAATCTCCTCTGTAGGGAATTTGGGCCCCAAAGGAACTTGCATTCTTAAGGCCCTAATACTCTGAAGGCAACACTTGTGATTGGGTTCTCTGTAGTTGCCATCTTTGATTCTCAGTAGTTTTATCTTTGAATTTGGGTTTTATAAGTGAAGTCTGAAGGGATAACAGAACATACACTGGGGTCTGAAGCCTCAGCTCACTCATGGTCCTGCCTCCTCACCATCTCCTCAGGAGGAATTTTCAGGCACCCACACCTCACCCCTAGTGCCTGGGCTCCACCACTAATGTCACCCCACTCCCAAGGTGCTGACAGGGTCGTGTCGGTGGGAGCCTCTGCACCAGTACATGGAGAGTCAGGAGCGGGCATGCACCCTGCAGCATCTTGGGGAGAGGCGTAGTGCCAGCCATCCTGCACTCCCTGGACTGCCAGTGCTGTAGTGCAATTGCTGCTGACTCAGCGGGGGCCTCTCACCCACCCTCCATCTAGATACCAAGAGTGACGAGTGCAGACATGCAATCTCTTAAGGTTACCTGCCCACTATGAGCTGCAGTGGCAGGCCTATGGGAAGGGGAGATTGGCATCCCCATATCAGTCTGGTTTGTAGAATGATTTTTAGAAGCCAGAAACACCAGTGTTGACATCAGTGGTGAGAAGAATGGCATGCAGGAGTCCTTGCACAGAATGCTGAGTAGCCACGTTTCTTCTGCACTGGGCTTTGCAAATTATGAAGCTCACCCTGTCACTTCACCTAAGGATATGCCAACTTGACATCTGTGGGGCGTAAGCCTGCTCAAATGGGTTGAAGGCAGGGCAAAACCCAGCCTTGACTCAGGTGGCCGTCTTGCATTGTTTGTCCTTCCTAAGTGTCCAGTCTTCCTGGATCTCGCCTCATAGTATTCCCATCCCCTGATGAATCCCTGACTCCAGAAGCTTCTGAGCATTTGCTGGCCTCTGAGCTGGAGTGATGGAGCTGTATGGTAACAGAGCTGGAGAAGATCCAAGTTTCTCTTGTCCCACTCCTTGCCTGATGGCACCAACCCCAGCACCTCCCCAGGTGGAACACTAAGCCAAAAGTAGTTACTAAACAGTAGCCACCCAGGAAGCGACTTGGGACTTGGAACTGGGCCCATTGTTACTTAACGCATCCTCTCCTTACCCCATAAATGAACTTGGACACAGTCTAAGTCACACTGCAATGAAGTGACAGAGGAGACGGAAGTGAAAAAGAAAAATAGCTGACATATCTATTTTTCCTAAGACATAGAAAAACAGGCTACAAACAGAAAAATGAGGCTTAGCTGGGAAAAATGTAAACAAG